ATATCTCAGCCCTTGTTTTCTTGCTGTGAATCTTTAAATATTTGTTGGAATCGTACGACAAAGGATTATGGCCACAAAATAAAGAATTCTTCTTTATCTCGCAAATTTACAAGTTTAATCTCAATATTTTAGATTTTTTTTTTTTTAACGTGTCTACATTTGTATATTGTAAAATGGGTTTTTCATAAAAGACACAAATTCTCAAAGACTGAAAGTGAAAGTCTGCAGTTGTATTTCTTGTGCAGGTCCAGGAGCTGACAGAGGTGGGACACCAGGTACTTGAGATTCTCCACCTCTTTGGAATCATAATTATCCTGCTTAAAAAGAACCAAATTCAAAGAAAATGAAAACTATTGGGAATATAGAATATTAGATTTATTTTTTTTCTATATTCTATATTTCTACATTTCTATATATGTATGTACGTATGTGTATGTAGGTATGTATATGCATATATGTAGCATGTGATTGTATGACATGTATATACCGTATGCGTATTTGTACTTATCTGGTTTTGTTTGTCTGACTTAAAGAGCCCATATTTTGCCCTTTTTGGGGTTCGTATATTTAATCTATGTACCTACTAAAGTATGTTCACAATAGCTAAAGTTCGCAAAGTGTCTGTTTTCATGAACTGCCGCTCCATGCACCGGCTGGCTTCTGACTCTCTCTCTAAGGCTCTGAAGTGCCCACGTTCAGAGTCCCCACGTGTGCCAAGTCTGATCTGAGTGGTCGGCCTGTCGGCTCTGCTGTAATTGGTCAGTCACTCAGCATGGTTCTTGGAAATGTACCGCCCCTTTTACCATATTGGGAATGCAGCTACTGGCTCCGTCCGAGGGGAGCATAAACATTAGCACCTTAGCACTACGGTGCTACCGCAGGCTACGGCATATTGTGGGCGTGCTACAGAAGTTAACGGGCCTGCAACATGAGCTGCTGGGCTTCCCACAACGAGCCAATGGGCTTAGATCAGTGATATCACACTGACAAGACGTCACACTGGCAAAAAAATTTCAAGGGGGGGCTAGAACCGAGCGTTACATGCAGCTAATGCTGCAGCTAACAGTTTACGCGGACTTTGAATTTTTGCACATAGATGTGCCTAAACATGCACAGGACACATGGAAAACACACTAAAGAGCATATAAAACCAGAAAAAGCATAATATGGGACCTTTAAGGAAATGAAAACAAGGGTTCGGCATCTATAAGCCGATCTATTCAGCCGAAACCCTTTTCGATCAGCCTATTTTATTTTTTCTTGTAATGATTGTGATTGTGATAATTTCTGCTGCTGCTGATCGAAATAAAATTACTCAGTCATTCATTCATTCACTTACTATGAAGTGCTTCCAAAAAATCTTGTGGGAGGATAGGGCTTAAATTGAAGGGAAATGTATGAACACAAGACCTAATTTTGAAAATGTCCTAGAAATATGGGAACATAGGGCTGTGGGAACATAGGGCTGTGGGAACATAGGGCTGACCCCAGACAGGGAGCATAACGTTGGAGCTGAGTTGATAAAAAGTTAATTAAACGACACAAAAAAGGGAGAAAACTAGAAGATACATTTAAAATGGATTCTACTGAAAATGACAGAGGTATTACCAGAGTGTTCACTTAAAGTTAATGTATTTACTCGTGAGTTAATTCAACTCGGTGTTTACATGTTGTTTGTTCCCGATTGTTAGCGCTAGCTTAAAGTGCTAATCTGCTAGCTCTCGTGTGCTATGGTAGTCTGAAAGCGTGGAGATTTCATAGTGTTTTAATTACATATTGTTGCAGGAAGAAAGAAACCACATGGTTTTACCGGGTGATACCATATTTTGTGTCTGTGCTACGTTCACTCACAGTTCATCAATCAAATAAACTTGTGTCTTGTTCTTGTTTTGTTATTATTTTTTATGATTAATTTCAGACCCAGCACACCCTCCAGAGTGCTCTAATGTTTCATCATTATCATACATCACACCAACTTGGATCTGTCGGCTAAAAAATGTTGTTTCTCAGAGAGTATTACAAACATTTCACAGTTATATCTATTTTTTCCGTCTTTTGTAACTCTGCAGACACTGAGGACGGCATAACAAAGGATACAAACGTCGGCATCCTGGTAATAGAAGATGAGGTCGTCCTTGAGGATCAGATCATTCAGCATGGCGTGAAGGACTATTTGTATATGGTAGCTATGCTCATGGGTCTGCTCTATGCTGTATTGACTAACAAAAGGAAGTGCAGTATACATTTGAAGTTGTACAGAAGAACCTAATGCATATAGGCGGTGACCACTGCCCCTTCAAGGGTCCATGGACTGAGAAAAAGACTTCTTTGTTAAGCTGTGTAGGCACTACACTGAGGTCGAGAGTTTTCTGAAAGTTGCCAAGAAATATTTGGACATTATCTCAGATCTTTTCTGAAGTGGTGTTTTACCATAGTAAGATCACATCATTAAATGTGTAAATTATTGATTTTATAAGTTTATTACGTCTGAAAGTGCTGAGAAAAGTCACCGATAAATGGTAAATGCAGCAAAAGAAAGACAATGGTTTTTTGCACATTCTTGGGTGGAAATGTTTTTATCAACAAGCCAGCACAGTATTTTAGGTTAACTCATTTGTAATTGTTTAGATGTGCTATTTGATCTGATCTGCTATTAAAGGTTGAACAACTTAAGTTGGTTTCTATGATAAAATGAATAACCTGTAGAGATGATACCTTTTATTTATTGTTATTTGAAAGGAAGTTGAAAGTTTCCACAAAAGCAAAGAGACTCACTAAAAATGTATAAACTAATGATTTAAGTTTACTAAAATAGAAATATATATTCCATTTAAAGTGATGAATTCATTTAACTCAATATTTAAGGTGGATTCAACTTTTGATTAAGTATTTAATTTTTGATTTCAAGTCAAAAGTAATTGAAAGACCATTTTGCCTTAACTAGATAATATCACAGGAACTGAATTGTGATTTAAAGCTTTGTTAACTTCAAGATTTAAGTACAAGTGACTTGACGTAAAGTTAATATGACTAGAAAATTGTATTTCTTTGGAATAATCACAAATTTGTCTCAACTTATCTTTTAAGTTCAGTTAACTTAAAATGTTATGTCGCTAACTTTTTTAAGTTATAGCAACTATTTTTTTTTATAGTGCACACATTACTATGTTAGTTGCTGAGAATTCACATGGGGGTTGCGTTACTATTGACAATGTGTCTGTGTTTATCTAATTATCAACAGGGTGTGAAAATAAACGCTGCCTGTCTTCTCTGGCAGGAGGCCTTGGTTTTACATTGAGCATGATCATTTTCACAGATGTGACAATCCACATCACAGGGCTTTAGGTCACATTACCTCTCGCTCCACAGGGGACAGAGGCTGATTGTCTTTTTATTGGCTTTTGCGTTGTTGTTTCTGTTGGATTTGGGGAGGAGCTGGCTGGAGGGCACTTTAGTAAGCCCACATGATCAACCAATACAAATGTTCACCTGCTGTCAACTAAAACCAAACGTCTGGCATAATCGTCATGGCTGTTTTTGCATTTGAATGTGTCATACTTAAGTATTTTTTTATTTGAACGTTGTGACATATTCTCTGAGCGTCAACACTCACTCTGACGCATACTGACTCACAGACTGACTTCTCTATTTGTGGGTTTAACCACACAGTGCACATTGTTTTACTGTCTGATTTGTGGATTTATTAAAATTCTATTGATCAGGAAGAGATTTGCCATCAGTCCCTTGAGGTCATAAAGTCATGACTTTGGTTTAATCATCACCACACTGCACTGACAGGTATTGATTGGAAACAGGGGTTATTTCAAAAACTAAACAAGAGGATGAAATGAGCTTAAATACGCCCACATAGGCACATTAACTCAGAGATGTGATGAATTAAATAGGCTAATTGTTTTCATAACTAGCTTTTCACTTGGATTAAATATTAGCCAACACATTGAGTACATGATGACTTAAATATTAACTTTTCTGTTCTTTGAGTACATCAACATTCAGAGTATGTTTTAAGAAACCAGGAGAAACATATAATTGTGATGATGGGTCGCTTCAAAAAGACAAAATAAGCAGGAGTGTCAGGACATGCAAGACAGAAGATCAGTAATGTGTCCTATGTAGGTTAAGGCCTAACAGCATCGGTCATGTGTTGAGTGACTTCCTCTTGTTTGTTTTTACGTCATTCAGGTTTGCTGACATTTTTTGAACAGTCTGGCTGAGGTGATAATTAATTTCTTCACTTTTGGATTTCCCATTAATATGGAAAATGACTCAATAAATTGATGTAGTTATTTATTTTATAGTTTTGTTTAGTTGTTTAGGTTTTTTTTTGCTCATTTGGTGTGCTAATTTTGAAGATATTAGGCCTGCTGCCTAATGAGAAACTCATGTGATAGACCCAGAGTTTGAGATGAGGAATAACACTGTCCACAATGTGTTTCACGGTTAAGTAATAAGCTGACACTAGATATGACTTTTCCAGTAAGTTATGACAAGATGACTCAAGTTCTAGTAAGCCCATGGATAAGTAATGCCGAAACCGAGGTGTGGCAGATCTGCGTGGGTAGGCCACTGAGAGTTGCAGTCGCGCTGACTGTGCGATAATAGCCGCACTGCACCTTTAACTTCACTGAAGCCTACGGGACTATTTATTGAGTGACGCGTGACGCGTGACGTACACTGCGTGCTGTGTCGGTAAGGAAGCGCAGAGTGCAAACGGCGTCAAGTTAGCAAGAGTGAGCAAGAACTTGAACGGAAGCTTTTAAATGCGTTTTCAGGAGGGGATAATACTCACAGTAAAATTATAGTTATAGACTACATTTCGCAAAGTAACAACATTTTTTTGAGGCAAAAAGCACGTAAAAAAGCATATCGAACAAACGGTAAAGCTGTATTAAAGTTGATTTCGTAGTACACAATTCCCGTAACACTCTTATTTTGAAAGCCCCAACAGGAAGTACTCTGCTTCAGTAACGATTGAATGAGACTGCCAAAGAGAGCGACCGGGCGCACGGTAGCTACTTGAACGAAAACGGGGGGAAGCTTGCTCAAGAACCGGCTGGTCTGTCGTACGGACTCAACATGCCACAACACAAATGTTGAGCGTGGGGTCGGAAACGGCGGTGTTTACCTTGTGAACGGCGTTTTCTAGACGGCCACGCCCCGTATCCACACACCGGAGACCGTACAAAAAAAAACTGCTGGCGGAGACGAAACAGTGAAGCGGTTTGAAACCCAGCAGGGCGGCTAGCGGTGCTCACAGCGGAGAGAGGAAGCAGGAGTGTCGGCTGTGTTGGGAACCATGAGAGAGTACAAAGTAGTGGTTCTCGGGTCCGGAGGGGTCGGGAAATCTGCGTTAACCGTCCAGTTCGTGACGGGATCCTTCATAGAGAAATACGACCCCACGATAGAGGATTTCTACAGGAAGGAGATCGAGGTGGACTCCTCTCCGTCTGTCTTGGAGATCCTGGACACGGCGGGGACGGAGCAGTTCGCCTCGATGCGAGACCTGTACATCAAAAACGGACAGGGCTTCATCCTGGTCTACAGTCTGGTCAACCAGCAGAGCTTTCAGGACATCAAACCAATGAGGGATCAGATCATTCGGGTGAAAAGGTACGAGAGAGTGCCGATGATTCTTGTGGGAAACAAAGTGGACCTGGAGGGGGAAAGGGAGGTCTCGTCCGGGGAGGGGAAGGCTCTGGCGGACGAGTGGAACTGCCCGTTCATGGAAACTTCAGCCAAAAATAAAATCTCGGTGGACGAACTGTTTGCAGAAATAGTCCGACAGATGAACTATGCCTCCACACCAAATGGCGACGACCAGTGCTGCTCGTCTTGTGTCATTCTTTAAGAAACGGGAACTGCATAAAGTTTTATTCCTTGCTCGGTTTTAAGTTTGCAATGGTAAGTTTGGACACCGTTCACTGTCAACACACAGCTGACACAAGTTATCATTGTAGCCTGATAAGTGACACTTCAAACCTATAAACTTTGGTGTAAACACATATAGTTAGTATAGTATGGTAAGCAGCAAATGCAGGATGTATGGTCAGCTTGGCTTTATTTTATTATTCAGCTTGTTTTTTTTTTTTTTTTTTCAGTCTATTGTCAGTTCTCTTCCTAAATGTTAGTTTTCATTGTGCACTTGCAGTCTATTGTTTTGCTCAGCAGATTAGGGAAGTGTCTGAGTCATATGCAGAACTGGAAGGGCAAGCTATGGCCGACTTAAATATAACTTTAACAAAGTTAGGGCTTGAATCAAAAAGTGCACCTCCATTCTTGTGTTTTTCAACTGTTTGAGTGTTATTTTCAAGAATGAGGTTAACTGGAGATGGGAGATACCAATATTCTCATTTGGCCTACATTCAAGGATCAGCGAGTTGTTTTTAAAAAAAATCTTCAACAGAGCTCAAAATTAGCGTTGAAAGCAGTGGTGTCTTCTTTACCTCTAGCCAGAAGTTGGAGCTCATTCATGAATCTTTCTTGTCTCTTTTGTTTGTTGCAGTTTGTTGCAGCAAGTGTGTACTGTAGAGCTCTTCTTCGTGTCTCACCCTGGCCTTGGAGAAAAATACAGGGAGGAATGCTGCAGGGGGACGAGTGAAGGAGGAGGGGAGCAACGGAGACAGAGGGAGGGGTTCCACTCTTCAGGAATTTCTGCACGGTTGGAGTATCTCCGCTGCTCGATGTGTGTCTGTCATTGATGCCACAAAGTGACAGAGAGTTTCAGCGACACTTCTCTCACCTGTTCCAACCGTACTCACAACTGGAGCTAAACTCCATGTGGAAAAGTTCTAGACGGCAACACTTAAGAGACACTCATAAATGGATATTTCTGTATACGAAGAAGACAGAGAGAGTATATTTTGTTAAATAACTGCACAGTCTGGGGCGGGTAAGGATTCGGGTGATGTCTCTGCCTAACCCATTTTTGGAGAAATTCTCCGAAACACTCCAAATCCTATTATATATTTTTTTTGTCCAAAGTCAGAAGAAATTGACACCACTTTTTTCTGTTGGTGGAGTTAAACGTGATGAGTGCCACTTGTTTTTTTTCCTTCATTGCCTCTTCAGTGTGCGGGAGGACCTTAACTGAAGTGACATGAGGACGACGACCAGATCGCCCTTATGTCAAGTGCCTTTCCGAAACAATACAGCCGTTAAGATTTAGTGCCAACCAACACGTTTCTCCGAAAGAACCCTTCGTCACTGCAATCCAAAATCAAGTGAACTGTTCTTCTGCATCGTAGAGGGGGAGGCTGAAAAGAAATGGTGGTTTCTGTATGTTTTACGTTGGCCTTTTTCAAGTCCACGGTGTTAATTTAGCAATGTCTGCTTTTTTCAAAGGCCAAACTTTTATCGTTAAATGCACAGGTACTGGAATCCTCTATAGATGTGTCGACAACAACAAACACTTACCTTCCAGTCCACCTTAAGTCAAGATCTTTCTGTTCTGTTTATTTTGTTGTTTTTAACAGGAAATGTGATGATGTACCGTTGACAAATCTAACCTGATTGTAAGTTGAATTTCAGATCAGCCTTTTAACAGTGAGCTGACTGTTTAAAAAAAAAAAAAAAAAGACTTTTAATACAAATGGAATTTAAAACAAACAAAACCAGGCTATGTTTTCTCTTTGTTGACATCTACTTTTCAGAGTGTTAGTATGTTGGGCTAATAGCTGGTTAGCTGATCCTAAACAAAGTTTGTCCTGAGCAGTTTGGACAAGAATTTACCATTGCTGGAACACCAGCTTAATATGTTTTAGCTGGATTTCTACAAATACCCAGAGTAATACAGTGGTTCAAAACATAAACGTCTGGTTGTATACATAATTTACAGCCACTTCCTCCGAAATCCCAAACTTTCACGACGCGTTAGATAGTCGAGGATAGCCCTCAGGCTGACGGTTAGTTTGTCGAGTTTTATGTTGACGAATTTACCAGGCACCAAAAGAAGCTTTAGTGAAAGCTGTGTAAGTTGTAACATGAAATCCGCTTCTATTTTTCCACTGCTGCCTCGCCATGTTTGTTTGTTTCTTCTCAAACAGACAACTTTGTGTGGTTAACGCTGGAACAACTGTTGCGTGGAATCAAAAAGCTGCAAAAACATGGTCTAGGGTGTAAACATGATACGACACGTTTTAATAAAAGATGAGTAACTTCCTTTAAGTCAGGCTGCTACAGGGTTTATATGATATTTGCAATCTAAGCGGAGTGGTCACCCCAAACTGCAGGGATTTGTGTAGAGATATTTTTAAAGTGCCTGATGAGATTTGTCTTTCCTGCCTCTGTGTTGAACCTCAGTTGTATTTACCAAACTGCATTTTATCTACAGTAGATAAAAGCACCTCTATCTGTGTACCATCCTCACATGCATTAATAGACGAGGCCCGGCTCAGCAGCTCCAGAGGAACGTCTCTCAGCTGTGTGGGTGTAGTGTTTGAGCCCAGAGCTTCAGCCTGGGTTGAAGCGTGTGTGGGTGTAGTGGTGTGATGTGGAGAGGCCTGTATGACTGAACAGGCCCTGCTCCGCTTCTGTTTACCTACAGGGATTACCGAGCCCTGGCTGGCTGGCTGGCTGGCTGGCAGGCTGGCTGGTCGGCTGCTGTATGGCCTTGAGGGGAGAGAGTAAACAAACACAAGACAGGCTTCTCATAGAGTCTTTCTGAGAAGAGATGTGAGCTGTTTTTTTTTTTAAGCTTTACTTTATGTTTATGTTGTGTTGTGGAATGTGAACTGTATGTCTTAAGAGTCCGAGCATATGTGTCGGCATGTCACTGCTCCTGTTCAAGCTCGTACCACCTTGTGTGACAGTGTAGGCTTTGGGTGTCTGTGCCTGGTAGCCAGTGTAAGCGATGGTATAATATGTATTCTTTGGCCATGTCTGCACCATGTGACCGCGGGGCATGGGGAGGACAGGGGTGTTGGGGGGGGGTGTGTGTGTGCAATTCAACATCCAACAGGTGTGATCAAGAGCAGGGCAAGGAGGCTGAAATGTAATTTATATGTATAGCATAGTTACTTTATGATTGGTCATAACCATAATGTCATTTTCATTTCAAATTCCAAGTGACTCCTTATGTAATCCCCAGTCTCCTTTGATTGATTCATTTGCAAAATGATGGCATACAAAGTTTTATCAATCTGTATTATCACAATCTTTTCTGACTCAGTGATGCTAATATTAAATATATGTCTGGCCCAAGTGAATAGATCCATATCTTTACATTATTTGCAAATCGAACGGTATGTCTGGAGAAGACAAATGTCAACATATACACACTAAGACCATTTGTCTTGCCCCCAGAAGCTGCAAAGACAGCTCTACGGCTTAATATTTGGTTTAAGTGTTCTGTGCTGAAGTGTGCTTTTGGGACTGTTGATAGCAGCTCTTAGATCTCCCTTACACTCATAACAAGCCATGGCTAGTTTAGCTATGCTGTCTAAGCGAAGTCAAGGCTAATGGCATGTTTCCTCCGAAGCCTTGATACAAATTGCATGAGTCAAACTCCTTGCCTTCAAATATTATAGTTGAATCTGTGGTGGATGAGAGGAAGCAGTTATTACAGCTATGCCCCAGATACTGTAAATGTACCAACCCCCCCCCCCCCCCCTTCCATCTTTCACTGCTGCGCTGCTTCAGTCACTTGCTGTGGCATAAACATCTGATAGCAGAAGAATTTGCCCTTTGGAGAGAAAGGGGCCTGTGGAGTTTCTATTTCTTTTTTATCTTTCTAAGAAAATGAGAAGGTGAAAGTTTCACATCCTGCTTCTTTAGCTTCTTCTTTTCTTTTTTTTAAACCCACAACTCGGCACCAACGTTGTCTCTGTGTGGTCTTGAGTTTAAGCCGTTTAAGCCTTTTGGTTTCTGAGTCTCAGTTGGATGCAGCCACATTTTTGCATACTTGAACTGCAGCGTTGTAAGGGATTTAATTAGGTTTATTTTTTTAAATCTATTGGTTGCAGCCAGCAGCAAATCGGCAGCGTTCAGGTTTACAGATGGCCGGGCTTGTCAGTGGTTTGCTGGTCATGGGAGATGGTCATGTGATGTGGTTGCCATGGTTAAGGGGGGTTGGGATGTGGTATGGCTGCTCAGGGTGGCCTCGTGACCTATGCGAGTTGAGTCACTGCTGGAATGGTGACTGTAAGAGAGGAGGGCGTCGGAATGTTTGATCAGCTTTTTCTCAAGTCGCCACAAACACAATATTTTCTTTGCCCCTGATAACGGGAAATGTGATTATCCTCCTGCTAATTTCTGCGGCGTAAAAACAGTTGTAGAGACAGCAGCATTTACAGCCCTCGACAAATATTTCCCTTCCTTTGGTTACAGTAAACTAAATATTGATTTCTGACCAATTAAGGGGAAGGGTGTGTTAGCTTGCAAAGATCTTATAGTGTTTCTCTTTTTGCTGTTGGAAGCAGTTGCTCTGACAGGAAGTGTTGCGACAGAGCCAGTGAGAGTGGGTGGTGTGTGTTTGCATTTTTTACATGGGATTTAATCACTATATAGACTCCTAGCTGAATTACAGACCTCTCTGCCTCTCCCCGCGTCATCATGCTATTTTTGAGGCTCTGTTGTGTTCAAGAGTGCGGTCTTTTGCCCTTTTTTTTTTTTCTCTCTCTCTTGCAGATGTGCCCGTTATGTACTTTATCCATCCAGGGCAGGATGCTTGCTTGCTAAAATCCCTTTTAACTTTATTTTCTTTACTTACATAACGCTTCTAATTCAACACAAAAAAAAAAAGCAGGCGTCAGTGCTCGCAATAAGCTGCAGGAGGTTTTTTTTTAGTGTTTGACATATTTCTTTGCTGTGTGTGTGTTGGACATTACCATAACAACACAGGAATAACCATTACCTTCTTGTTTGTCTTCTCAAAGAAGGCTGAATGAGCTTTGTTTTTTTCCTCTCTTTTACTCACACACACACACACTCACACACACACACACACACACACTGCAGTTAACCTAGGTTGTGCACACTGAAAAACACTGCAGATTAGATTCCGGCAGGTTTCCAACACAAAGACTTTTTCCAGACACAAGCAGCAGAGGCATCATTCGTCTCCTCTGGAGCACCGAGTTTGTTCACAGCATGCTTTGCTCAGTTATCTCCTTTTCCATGCAAACTTATCATATTCTTTGACCACACTGCACCTTGAACCACTATATCTGACCACATCATAGCCTGTAGATTGTGAGAAACATAGAGTGTGTAGAAAGTTATATCCTCTACAAAAGGTTTGCACCTGTTTTAGGCTATACACTGTTTGGCCTGATGGTGTTGTCTCTGTATTAATCACTGTTTACTGGACCGAGTAAGCATTGATCATCCATTACATTCTTCATACAGCTCCCTCTGTAAATCAGGGAGTGGCCTTCTCACTCAGAGCACACATGGGTCCCGAGATGGGAATGCCCCTGAATTCCTGTCATTCCTGTCATTCCTTCAACTGTAATGTCTGGACATGTCTTTATCCTGAACAGAGAGAGAGAGATTGAAAAGTTTTGATATCACAAGAAGTGGTGCTCTTGTGGCCTTTATTGTGAAATGTGTGTCTTTGGCATCGCTGTTGCCCTTCATGTCTGATTGAAACTTCTTTGTTGTTCTGTCGCCCTTCTTGTTTTGTTATTCCTGATCACGATTCTGATAGGGGCCGAATAGAGATGCATATCACAAAGAACAAACACAAAGGCAGCGAGAGAGATAGAGAGAGCAGCGGAGATAAGGGTTAAAAGAGAGAGTGCTGGGTTTGTCTAAACAGGCCTCCAGACACCCGCCCCACTGTGTCACAAGATGGATCCCACTGGGCAGCCAGTCAAACTGCTCTTTATTCCATCTTTAGATAATCATAGCACAGTCGCCTCAGTTCGCACAAGAGCTCGATCTGTGGAGGAAAGTAGGCCAAATGAGCCAGTCAGACAGGACTAGTTACTTGCCGCGTCCCCTGTGTGGATAAATAGCTTTTGTTCACTGGTGTCAGCGAGGACGAGTAACGCTTAAGGACCTGATTAGTAATTGAGCTCTGTTACAATCAGTGTTTTAATTATGAAGGGAGAAAATCAGGTCACTGAGTGTTCGGAGAAGAAATGGACTGCAATTTGATCCTTCTGAAGGCATAATTAAACGTGTAATTGGTATCTGGAGCTGATAAACTTTTAAACTTGAACAGCGGGGCTGATATCATGATGTGACCTTTGACCTGCAGAGCACATGTCCGCCACGGCCGCTGTCACTCTGCAGCGTGCTTCAGATGTAGCTAGCCTCTGAGGTCTGGGTGTGGTGGTTTTCTCACTCCACTGGCAGGCTGCTTTCTCCACCAGAGGACTAGCAAGAAGTGAATGGCCTCCAATATTTCCTTGTAGTTTAGTTTGTTTGTGTCGCTGTCAGATCAAAGGCCTACATGAGGCATTCAATGTGATTCATTAGGTCACTTTGACAGAAGTAGAAACAACATCATTCGGACCTGACCGTGCTATTTGTGTGATTTCAGAGAGTTCGGCTTTAAACCACAAAAGAGCAGAGTTAGAAACTTTAAACTGTTGGTTGTGATAATGTGCGGGTAGATTTATTTTTTTCTTTGATATAATAATACCCACGCCCCCCAAACTCACTGCCA